CAGGACATTATTGTAAAGGGAAATCCAGGAGGGTCACCAGGGACCTTGGACTCTGACGAGCTCTGATGTTGGAGTGGCGGTGGCATGGCCTTGCCTTGGGAGCAACTTGACCTGTCTTCGTTGGGAAGGGGAATGTGTTTCCATCAGTGTATTGTGTTAGGCGGAGATATTTCTGAATGCATGGGGTAATGTGATGGGTGTCTGTGTTGTGTTGTGTTTCCCGTGTAGCTAAATGATAGGAAGCAGTTGAATGACTTTTGGGGTGCCTGCTCAGTTCGTTGTTCTTATTTTGGGGAGCCTTCGTGGTTCACTGGGCAGGCAACTGTGGATATGTCTGTACTCTATGACCCTTTTCCCCTGACCAAGGCTGATTCAACCTGGCCTTACGTGGGATAATCTGACACTCCTCTTAGGGGACCTGAGACTTGGAACAAAGGGCCACTTTGATTGGGAATGACTGCAGCTGAGTCACAGTAATCCCGCGGTCTGACTTCTGTCTGTGCATCACGTGGAGTAGGACCGTAGTTGAGAAAATAGCATCAGACTCTTCGTGTCCTTTAACTAGGCTGGGCGCCTGTATTTTTCATCTATGGAATATATGAGGAATGTTTATTACGTGCAGGTTACTTACTGTGCTAGATCCTAGGGCTATCTAGCATTGGCTCTCATGGAACTTACCCTCCAGGGAAGAAGATGGACTCTAATCAAATAATCACTGAAATAAATGTGGAACCATAGCTGCAATAGGTGATGTGAGAGAAAGGGTATGCAGTGCTGGGAAGCAGTGTAAGAAGGAGAGTTAATCTAGGGAGAGAGACCAGGAAGGATCCCTGGGAAAGGGACAGTTGGAGGGAAGTCTCAAGGCGGACTAGGGGCCCCGAGATGTGCAGGCCAGGATGAAAGTGCTCTAGGAGGGAGCAGTGTATGCAAAGACATGTGTTAGAAGAGATGAGAGAGGACCAGCCTGGCTGAAGCCAGGGTAGCGAAGGGGAAGGACTCTGGGTGAAGTAGGTGGGGACCAGTTTAAGGACTTTAGCTGCTGTGGTTGATTCTCACTAGTAATGAGAAGTCTCGAAAGCAATTTAAGCAGAAGGTGGTGGCTGGTGGTGACTGATGGGATGTGTCCCAGAGCTAGGGAAGGTTGGTAAGAAACAAGCAACTAATGATTTTTGCAACTTGGAGAGAAAGATGAATGCAGGACCAAATCACAAACCGTTAAAAAGGATCAAGGCAAACTGTGGGAATAAACCTGAACCACGCACCTGCGTGTTGATGGCTATGAACACACTTTAGAAAGGGGACAGAAGGGGCTGAGCATGGTGGCTCACACCTGTAATCTCAGTGCTTTGGGAGGCTGAGGTGGGTGGATTTGCCGAGGTCAGGAGTTTGAGATCGGTCTGGCCAACATGGTGAAACTTCGTCTCTACTAAAAATACAAAAAAATTAGCCGGGCATGGTGGCGTGTGCCTGTAATCCCGGCTACTTGGGAGGCTGAGGCAGGGGGATTGCTTGAACCAGGGAGGTGGAGGTTGCAGTGAGCTGAGATTGTGCCACTGCACTCCAGCCTGGATGACAGAGCGAAAGTCAAAAAAAAGAAAAGGAACAGAATGTTGAAATGCCACATACTGCAACTGTAGGCTGCGGAAAAGACACACGAATGGAGTGTTCAGTGAGAGAGAGCTTTCTCAGTGTTCGCAAAATCACAACTATATGAGCTGCGTTATTCTTTCTTAAGTAAAAGGGGAATAAATTTTGTTTCGCCAGGATATCTGCAACTTAATTTCTCGAAGCAAAAGTGAAGGTCTGATAATCGCCTCAAGATGACAGTTTGCGGCTTAGTAGAGTCTCACGGTGCCCTTGGCCCTGGTGTTTCCTTCGTGTTCCCTCTTGCAGTCACCTCAATTTATTGATTTCATTAGGAGATAAGGGTGACAAAGATGGGTTATAATACTTGGGAGAAATGTAAAACCATTAGCAGGTCATTGTTGAAGTCAGAACATGCCCTGTTAAGCTTCTTAGGAAATCCATGGCAGCCAATGATACAGGGATTAACCTGTTTGTTGTGTGTGCATGCATGTGAGTGTGCGGGCCTGCGTGTGTGCACAGGCCATGCGCCCGTCTGCCATGAGGAACTTACATGCGATAAGCTCTGTCAGTGAAGTGATGAATAAATACATGGGTTATTGACCAAAACAGTGACTTTGTATTTGCCTTTCTGTTTTCTGTCGTTCTAGGTTTGAGGCTCCAGTTAAACATACATCTGTTTGGCCTTAGGGCTGTATTTGGGTGGGCAGGCAGGAGGCCCTCTGAGCCTGGTTCTGCTAACCAGCTGGGTCAAAAGGTATAATTGGATATGATGGTTAATTTTAAGAGTCAACCCGACCGGGCTAAGGGATGCGGGGGCAGCTGGTAAGCATGACTTCTGGGTGTGTCTGGGAGGAGCTGAGACTGAGTACAGAAGGCCTCCCCTCCCCAGTGTGGGTAGGCATCAGCCAGCCTGCTGAGAGCCTGAACCCAACAAAAAGGGGGAAGACGCGGGGGTTCCCTTTTCTTGGATGGAGCGGGGACGTCGGTCTTTTCCGGCTGTCCTACACTGTGCTCCTGGTTCTTGGGCCTTAGGACTGGGACTGAACCACACCCCCGGCTTTCCTGGTCTCCAGCTTGCAGACGGCAGATCGTGGAACTTCTCAGCCTCCACTGTGTGAGGCACTTCCCAGAATAAACCTCCTCTTCTCTATTTATAATCTATCCTATTCGTTCTGTTCCTCTGAAGCACCCTGGCTGATACACTGGATGACCACCGCAGCTCCTGTGTGACCCGCCCGGTGGCCAGCAGGTGACACAGTGACACTGTGGGGTGTGATGTGGCATCTGAGAGGCTGTCTCGGTGACTGCTCCTCAAAGCTGGAGAAGCGACCAGAGGGTCGGTCTCTCCTGACCTTTGCCCCACGGAACGAGACGGGGATGGGCCAGCTAACTGGCGGAGGGTGTGTTCTCACTTGAAGTCTTGAGACTTAGTAAACAAAACTGATGATATGTTTTAATACTCAAGGTTGTTGGTGCTTGTCGGAGATTAAAGAGGAGGAAGGGAATTTTCCTCCATCTCTGTTGTCCTTGTTTATTTTTGGTGCAGGCAGTGTAACAATTTGCCAATACCTGATATGGACGTTTCAGAAGATCGTGGGTTGAGGGGTTTTCAATACTTGTTTGAAATTGTTGAAGTTGTCCGAATTGTTACGATAATTGTGTGGAAGTATTATGCTCCGAGGAAGGTGGGGAGCTGCTGTGTTTTCGAGGGCAGGGCATGAAGAAACAGGCTGCAAGTACAGCAAGCAAAGGGTGAGGCGGGTGGACAGTTGTGGAGTCTTGGGTGGGGGCTGAAAGCCAGGCCCCCTCCTTGCCTTTCTGAGTGGAGCTGGCTGAACACAGGGCCACAACCATGGGCTTCCTGAAGGCTTGCCTTTCTTGAGGGTATAGTTTTACGAAATAAAATTATTTCAATTATTCAGCTAGCCATTCATTTACTGCTTTTAAATTTGTGAACTTTGGAGCTGAGATAATAAAACGTAAGAGTGAACCTTCACCCTTAGCAGCACTGTATCTTCTAAAAATCAACATTGATACTAAAATATGTGGCTTCTAGTTCTGCCCAGATCCATGTGGCTTTGAATAATTACCACTATCACACTTGTCCATCTGTAAACGGGGAATAATAGTACCAAATCTGTTTCTCTTATATGTTGGTTGTGAGAACCAAAAGATAATATATATATATATATATATACACACACACAAAATGCACTGAAAAGTCTCCAGTGCAGTGCCCGCCTGGACTGAGAGGTTTATTATTAGGCACATAAAAAAGTAGGCACACAGAGGTCTAGAAAACTCACCTGGGCTGGGTGCGGTGGCTCATGCCTCTTATCCCAGCACTTTGGGAGGCTGAGGTGGGCGGATCACTTGAGGTCAGGAGTTCAGGACCAACCTGCCTAACACGATGAAACCCAATCTCTACTAAAAATGCAAAAATTACACGAGTGTTCTGGTGGGCACCTGTAATCCCAGCTGCTTGGGAGGCTGAGGCATGAAAATCACCTGAACCCGAGAGGCAGAGGTTGCAGTGAGCTGAGATCACACCACTGCACTCCAGCCTGGGCAACAGAGTGAGACCCTGTCTCCAAAAAAAAAAAAAAAAAAAAAAAAAAAAAAAAAAAAAAACAGAAAGCTCACCTGTCTTTATTTTATTTTTTTGCAGTATGGACATTCTGTTTGTGAGTCCTAGTAAATATACGACTATGCAGGTAAAATCAGGGCAAGAGTCCAATTTTACAACTTGAAAGTAAAATTTTACAACTTGAAAGTAACAACTTGAAAGCACTTTCTGGGGATTCGTCTCCTAATAATAGAAGACTATTACAGTCTTCTGTTGATGTTGATTTACTGGAGTAGAGTTGCCAGATAAAATACAGGATGCTTAGTTACATTTAAATTTTAGATTAACAACAAATATTTTTTAGCATGAGTATGTCCAATATTTGAGACATACTTATACCACACAAAGTACTTGTTATTGATCTGAAATTCAAGTGTAACTGGGTATCTTGCATTTTTACTTGCTAAATCCTACACTGGAGGTCCTTACAGCAGACACTTGAGAGAGAAATCCCATTCTCATATAAACTGCTTTTTTTAATCTATTTTTTTTTTTTTTTTTTTTGAGATGGAGTTTCACTCTTGTCACCAGGCTGGAGTGCAGTGGTGTGATCTTGGCTCACTGCAACCTCCGCCTCCCAGGTGCAAGCAATTCTCTTGTCTCAGCCTCCCGAGTAGCTGGGTTTACAGGCGCCTGCCACCACACCTGGCTAATTTTTGTATTTTTTAGTAGAGATGGGGTTTCACCATGTTGGTCAGGCTGGTCCTGAACTCCTGAGCTCAGGTAATCCACCTGCCTCAGCCTCTGAAAGTGCTGGGATTACAGGTGTGAGCCTCTGTGCCCAGCCTTTTTTTTTCTTTATCTTTTTTAACAGAAATGGGAATCAATGAATTTATGTTGGCATGTGTGGTAATTTTTTTCACCTCTCTTCTTTATTTGCAAAATGGAGAGACTATTACCTTACTTAGTTGTCCTCAGTCTTGACTGCACATTGAAATCCCAAGGGGACCATTTACAGCTTCTAATGCCCAAGCGCCAGAGTCCAAATACATGAGGATCTTGGGTGGAACCTGGAGGTGTTATATTTTACAGTGCCTCCAGGTGACTCTCAGGCATGCAAGGCTGAGCTGGTGGTCTCCTCGGCGATGCTGTGGGGTTAGATGACGTAGCATCTGTAAAGCACTTCGCAGACTATCAGGCATGCAATTAGCATGCAGCAACTGGCCCATGCCTTGCTTTGGGAAGAGGGTCCACAGAGCAGGAGAGGAAGAGGAAGAAGAAAGGCGCCCCAGGTGGGTGGCAGGCTGAGCAATGCCCCACACAGGAGTTCCAGGTGGATCTCATGGATCTGTGTGACTGCAGCACAACTGGGGGTGGGGCAAGAAATGTGGAAAAGGTGGGCAGAGCCAGTCATGGAGGCTTCGAACTTCGGCTTCATCTTGTAGGAGATCAGGAGCCACCGGACGGGATCCGCGTGCTTGAAGGAAAGCGTTTTCTTGGGGAAGCCAGGGTGGGGAAACCTCCTTACATCTGTGCAGGAGTCCTATGTCTCGTGGGCTGATGCGGGCCATGTGGGGTGTGTGGAACATAAAATCCCCGGGGTCGGAATCTTGTCTTGCTCTGTGTTGTATCCCTAGTGCTAGAACCATGCTGGGCACATAGTAGGCACTTGGCAGAGGGTATTGATTGGGAGAATACATGAAGGACAAAAAACCCAAATGAAGGAGAAGCTCAGCAGAGGCGGGGGCGGGGGGGAACGGACTGCAGGACCAGCCTTGTGAAAGCAGAATCCCACTCCCAGCTCTGCACTGACCTGCTGGTGCCCCTGGACAAGCCATATCCCTTCTTGGCCTCTGTTTCTGCTGCTTAAATGGAGGGCAGGGCCCTTCTAGCTCTAATGTCCACCAATAATTAAATGCTTCTGGTCCTGAATGAGTTTCTGACCTTCCTACTGACACACCAGGTCCTAGGTGGAAGCTCCATCAGAAGCCTTTGTGTTTCCCTGAGTTCTGGAAGCCGGGCCCCAGGAGGCAGAGTTGCGGCAACTCATCCTGGCTGCTAGGAAACCCAGGCTTGGAGGGAAGGCAGCTTGCCCCTGTGGCTGATGACCTTATTAGCAGTGATTGGACCAGATCCTCTGAAGTCCTTTTCCGGGCTGTAGGTCCAAGTGCTGTGATGGTGGGAGGGAGGTCTTCCCAGGCAGGGAAGGGGCACTGGCCGGGGTGGGGAAGTCTGGCTCCTAGTCTCGGCTGCTGTGCCTCCCCTCTGGGAAAGTCATCTAATCTGTTTGTATGTTAGTTTCCTTAGTTGTAAAACGAGGAATTTTTATTAAGTTAACTCTAACAGACCATTTTCGGTTTTCAACTCCTATGATTTCATAGCGTGCTCTCGGGTTTCTTTTATCTCCATGTATCTTTGTTTCTAAAAGATCCAGGCCTCGATGACACCTTTTCCTCCCTGGTACTTTCAGCCCACGAGAGAATCTAAAAGCTGACTCTGCACCTCCGGGTGCTGCCGAGCCTTTTGCACAGAAAGAGGAGAAAGCTGGATAGTTTTTTTTTTTTTTTCTTTTGCTTCTTCGTTAACAGATATTTTTAGCTTTTCTAAAAGCTTCTCATTCTGAGCCTTAAAAAGAAATAAGAACCTGTTCCAAAAATGCAAATTCTCTGGCAAGAAGCAAGAGGGGTGTTTTCAATCTTCCCTGAACGATTGTTTTCTCTCCCACAGACCCTCGTGGTGCAGCAAGGGGCAGCTGGGGTGCGGGAGGAAGTGGGAGGGTGAGGCTGTGGCCAGCAGGAGCCCAGCCCCAGGGTGCCAGCCTGGACTGGGACTTTGCACTGGGGACTTGCTTTCTGCAATCAGGCACTTTTTCAAGTTGGTTCTGAACAGTTCTGTACTGGATGGCGGGCTGCTGTATGTGATTGAGAATGTTGCCTGTCTGAGCCCTGAGATGAGCTGAGGGTTCCTCCTCCCCAGCCAGTGCCAGCCTCACATAGCCCTTGTAAATCTGAAAGTGCTGTTGGTAGCAACCAGGGATGGGCAGAGGCAGCCCTGTCCTGAGGGTGACATGAAAGTGAGAGCAAGCTGACGGTCCAGTTGCCTTAGTCCTCAAAAGTGTCACGTTCAGATTGTATCCTTCAACTTTAAAATGTCCTTCTTTGGAGTCCATCTTGCTCTGCCCATTATTGGGCCCCGGTGGTCACTTCCTCCTCTGTGCTCCTGTGGCCTGGGATTCACACCAGGAAAGAACGCCACGAAGAAGGAACGGTGAGTTGCATCCGTGTCTGCTTCCCATGGGGATGGGAAATGGAGGGAGAACTGCCCAATGGGATTGTTACTTTGCCTGACACCTTGCAGCAACCTTGCAATCACTTCTCATTTACATTTTTTATTCCCTAGCCTCTAGCTCAAGTAGATACTCACTAATGCACTAATGCTTGATTGTCATATCTAAGATTTTTCATATGTATCTTTCAGAGATAATTCAAAGGTTGCTTATATTCTGAAATAATAATCTGTCCTAAAATCTCTTTGAATAACAACACAATTTAGTTCCCTTTAGGTTAAATTCAGGGAATACCATGAATGCAGCGTTCGAAAGGAAACCTTTGATATACCCAGGCTAGCAATTATTTTGCAGAAAGTGATTATATTGGCATCTTGATATAAAAATGATGGATACCAGCCTCTGTCCCTTACACACTCAGTTCCGTTTCTCAAAGGTTAGTGATGGAGATGGAGACAGTCTGGGTGTGTGCTGGGGAAGCAGGGTGGGCAGTGAGGCAATGTGACCACTTTTAGATCACTCAGTCTCTTCTTTTTATAAGCATAGCTCAGCTTTCCTGTAACTGAAAGCAGAGAATGATTCTGGTTCTTTAATTGAGGCTTTAGGAGACAGTTTTATCTATGCACAGTTGTTTCTAAACATTAGGAATAAAGCCAATTACACTCACTATAGGAAAATGCTGAGGTGTAGACATAGGATCTGAATTCACAACTGCCTTTAGGACTGAGGAGAAATAGCAGAAGTTCTTACATTATTAACAGCAATGCCCGTGTTTCCTGATTCTGCATCTTGTTTCAGTACGGTGGTCAGAACATTAGCATGGGTACCCTTATTTGCAATCTGACTGCTTCCCAGAAACTATGTTAGTTGCTTTAAATACATCTTTGTAACAATATTCCAGAGTAGACATTATTATTCCCACTTTCTAGATTAAGAATCTGAGACTCAGAGAAACTGAGGAACATCCTGGGCCTTGTCCTCAGGTCCTCCTGAACACGCGGCTCAGGTGCCTTGCTCAGTTACTTTGATGATCCTAACAGACTCCAGTGTCACAGACGGGAAAGCTGGCAGGAAGGGAAAGGCAATGTTTGCCCAGGAATGGGGAGTGGAAGACAGAAGAATAGACGTATAGATCTCAGTGTATTGTGCTTAGAACAAATCCTATTGTCCATTAAACTTTATCATAATCATGCATGGTAGATGATATTATCTTCCATTTACAGGTAAGAGCTTTGGCAAACACCCCCAGACATTTATACGAAACCCCAGAAAGCCATGCCCAGGAATAAAAAGTAAACCGGGTGTATAAGCCTGCTCTCACGCTGCTAATAAAGATGTACCTGAGATGGGGTAATTTATGATTGACTTACACTTCCACACAGCTGGGGAGGCCTCACAATCATGGTGGAAGGTGAATGAGGAGCAAAGTCACGTCTTACATGGTGGCAGGAAAGACAGCATGTGTAGGGGAACTCTCATTAATAAAACCATCAGATCTCATGAGACTTATTCACTCTCAAGAGAACAGCATGGGAAAAACCCACCCTTCATGACTCTATTACCTCCCACCGGGTCCCTCCCACGACATCTGAGAATTATGGGAGCTACAATTTAAGATGAGATTTGAGTGGGGACACAACCAAACCATGTCACCCAGGGACTAAGGACAAAACCAAAGCAGACTTCCCTAAGAAAACTGAAATCCAAGAATTGACAGGATCAAAATGACCCACTGGTATTTATCTGCCTGCCAGGAAAACACCCCACCTCATTACAAAGAAGGCATAATTCAGAGCCTCTGTATTGTATCATCCACAATATACATCACACGAGAATAAATTACTAGAAGTGAGAAGAAGCAGGGAAGAGCAACCAAAAGTCAGCGTTTAAAAAATAGTCCATGAAAGCAAATGGATGAGGTTAGAAGACAGACTTCAAAATAACTGTGATCCATTTGTTAAAAGGAAAGAGACGAAAAGACGGACAACATGGAGGAAGACAGGGAGTATTTCAACAGAGAATTAAAATCTATATGAAAAAGAATCAAACAGGAATTTTGTAACTGCCAAAGGCAATATCCGACATTAAGAACAATGTCTAACATATTGCAAAGGCAAGATCTAACATTCATTGGATGGCTTTAATAGTAAAGTGGACACAGCAGAGACAGGAAGAGTGAGCTTGAATTCCTCAAAGCAAGTCAATACATTTCCAGACTGAAGCACATAGGAAAAAAAAAAATGAATGGGACAACAGCAGAAGAGATTATAAGGGAGATGTTGGACCCAGTCACAGGGTTAGCATTTATAACTTTGGGATCCCCAGAGGGGAGGAGGGAGATGTGACAGGCGCAACGTTTGGAAAAACACTGATGTACAGGAATTCCTTGTTTTATTGTGATTTCCTTATTCAACTTTCCAGATATTACATGCTTTACAAATAATTAAAGGTTTGTGGCAACTCTGGGTCGAGCATGTCTATTGGCCGATTTTTCCAACAGTGCGTGCTCGCGTTTGTCTCTGTGTTACATTTTGGTAATCCTCGCAATATTTTAAACTTTCTTCATCATTATATATGTTATGGTGATCTGTGATCAGTGGCCTTTGATGTTGCTATTGACATTGTTTTAGGGCACCACAAACCAGGCCCACATAAGATGACAAACTTCATCCATCAATGTGTGTGTTCTGACTGCTCTACGGACCAGCCACCTCGTCTCTCTCCCTAGGGCCTCTCGATTCCCCAAGACAGAACAGTATTGAAATTAGACCATTAATAACCCTACAACGGCCTCTAAGTGTTCAATTGAAAGGAAGAGTTGTATGTCTCTCACTTTAAATCACAAGCTATAAATGATTAAGCTCAGTGGGGAAGGCATGTTGAAAGAAGAGGCAGGCTGAAAGCTAAACTTCTTGCACCTAACAGTTAGCCATGTTCCAAATGCAAAGGAAAAGTTTTTGAAGAAAATTAAAAGTGCTACTCCAGTGAGCACACAAATGATAAGAAAGCAAAACAGGTTGATTGCTGAAATTGAAAAAGTTTTAGTGGTCTGGAGAGAAGACCAGAGCAGCCAACACATTCCCTTAAGCCGAAGTCTAATCCAGAGCAAGGTCTTATTTCTCTCCAATTCTATGAAGGCTGAGAGAGGTGACGAAGCTGCAGAAGAAAAGTTTGAAGCTAGCAGAGGTTGGTTAATGAGGTTTAAGGACAGAAACCATCTCCAGAACATGAAGTGCAAAGTGAAGCAGCAAGTGCTGATGAAGAAGCTGCAGTAAGTCATCCAGAAGATGCAGTTAAGATCACTGATGAAGGGGGCTCCACTAAACAACAGATATTCAATGTAGATGAAACATCCTTCTCCTGGAATAAGAAACTATCCAGGACTTTCATAGCTGTAGAGGAAAAGCCAATGCCTGGCTTTAAAGCTTTAAAGGACAGGCTGACTTATTAGAGGCTAATGCAGCTGGTGACTTTTAAGTGGAAGATGATGCTCATCTGTTATTACAAAAATCCTAGGGCCCTTAAACATTATGAGAAATCAACTGTGCCTCTGCTCTGTAAATGGAACAATGAAGCACCTCTGTTTACAGCATGGTTTACTGAATGTTTTAAGCCTACTCTTGAGACCTAGCACAAGAAAAGATTCCTTTGAAAATATTAATGTCTATTGACAATGCACCTGGCTACCCGAGAGCTCTGATGGGAGTGTACAAGGAGGTTAATATTGTTTTCATGCCTGCTAACACAACATCTATCAAACAGCCCATGGGTTAAGGAGTAATTTTGACTTTGAAGGTATATTACTTAAGGAGTACGTGTTGTAAGGCTATAGCTGCTGTATACATAGTGATTCCTCTCTGATGGATCTAGGCAAAGTCAATTGAAAACCTTCTCGAAAGGATTCCTCATTCTAGATGCCATTTAGAACATCAGTGATTCATGGGAGGAGGTTAAGATAGCCACGTTAACAGAAAGTTGGAACAAGTTGAATCCAATCTTCATGAATGACTTTGAGGGGTTCAAAACTTCTGTGGAGGAAGTAACTGCAGATGTGGTAAAGATAGCAGAAGAAGAAGTGGGGTCTGAAGATGGGACTGAATTCCTGCAATCTCATGATGAAACTTGAGTGGATGGGGAGTTGCTTCTCGTGGATAAGCAGAGAAAATTGTTTCTTCAGATGGAAACTAATCCTGGTGATGGTGCCGTGAACATTGTTGAAATGACAAGAAAGGATTTAGAATATTCCATAAACTGGGTTGATAAAGCAGTGGCAGAGTTTGAGAGAAGCGACCTGAATTTTGAAAGAAGTTCTACTCTGGGCAAAATCCTGTCAAACAGCATCACTTGATACAGAAAAACCTTTCATGATAGAGAGTCAGTTGATATGACAAACTTCATTGTCTATTTTAAGAAATTGCCACAGCCACCCCAGCCTTCAGCAACCACCACCCTGATCAGTCAGTAGCCATCAACATTGAGGCCAGACCCTCCATCAGCAAAAAGATTACAACTCACTGAAGGCTCAGACGATCGTTCACATTTTTAAGCAATAAAGTATTCTTAAATTAAGGTGTGTCCATTTTTAGGCATAATATTATAGCAAGCTTAATAGACTACATAACTTTGATATGCACTGGGAAAGTAAAAAATTAGTGTGACTCTCTTTATTGTGGCCTTAGCTTTATTGCAGTGGCCTGGAACTGAACCTGCAATATCTTTGAGGTAATGCTGGTGTTTATCATGTAACATAGAAACTCTGAATTATGTTACAGTCCTTTAAATAGGTCTGCATTTCACTCTGAGTGTGTTTTAAAGGTAATGTCAGTGCAATTTATGGGCAGGTAAGATTGGAGTATGAGAAGAAAAAAAGAGGAGTGAAAAGAGAATCTAAATCTAAACTCTTCGGTCAAGAGAGAATTGAAACCTAAACTCTTCGGCCTGAGCAACTGGAAGACAAATTTCCATTAACTCAAAGGACTTC